TGGATAGAAAAGCTATGGAAATCCACACAATGGAATACTACACAACACTGAAAAACAATGAAATAATAAAACATTACACAAGTTGGGGCAGCCTTGAGGACATTATGTTAAGTGAAATACCTCAGTCACAAAAGGACAAATACTGTATAATGCCACTGTATAAAATAGGACAGACATGGGGAGTTGGGGAGGGAATGGGGAAAGAATGGGCAGATAATGAGCACTGCGTTCGAACAGATGAGGGAGAGAATTGTCTACAAGGAATACATGATTTTGCATTATATGTGTGGGAACAATGTGAACAAGGGGTGCACTAAAGATGGGCTGGAGGAGGGACAGAGAACAAGGGGAGAAAATGTGAAAAGAAAAAAAGTATGTGGAAAGACTTAATATAACACTTTGCATAATGTAAGTTAATTACTCTTGTTTGCCATATGGTTTGAAGTTTTAAAAAAAATTGTTATAAAGTATGATCTAATTGATAGTTAAAAATGCATATAAAAGTAATTTCATTTTTTCCTACTATTTCAATTTTTATATTGTAAGAGCAATACATTCTTAATTTTTAAAAAATGCTTCTTTATTTAATACCAAAAATAATTCTTGACCTGAAATTTATCTTTTAAAAATACTTCTAGTTACCTTCAGACATTGGGTCACTTTCAAATCTGAAGACACTTGGATTAACGGGAAACCAGTTCTTTGCTTTTCCAGAGGAAGTCTTTTCTTTAAAGGCATTGGAAAGACTATACCTGGGGCAGGATCTGGGAGTCAAGTTTACCAGTGTGCCAGAAGACATTAGCCAACTGCAGGTAAGCCTCCCTTGATGAGCCAAGAGCATGCAAGTGAGCCCTTAAAGTGGCTGATGCACGTGCCCCTACAGGCTAGCAGTGGAATTACAGGCTAGCTGTGGAATCATGGTTCTAGATATTCACACAATCTTCAAACAAGCCTTTCTTCTCCAATTTTAAGGTTCTTTTCCTTCTCTGTCACCCCAGCTTCATGCTGAACTTGGTCCCTGAATTGTGCTGAATCCTAGCAAAAAGCAACGATAATAAGATAACTTCATTCCAAGTAGCATATATGTGTGTATCATTATGTATGCTTCCTTTAATGACCTGTTTCGTTTTTCCTGTTCCTATTACTATATTCCTAATAATTACAAAGTAGATGTGGGCCCCTGCACAACCCCAGTTTCCCTATTTAAATGAGAAATGATTCCAACAGTTTTACTAAAAAAGAAGTTCATTTCTTGAAGAAGATCCTTTCCCCCTATTTATCCGAATGTAAACTCTATAAATGTACAGAAATGATGTTAGTTATAGAACAGAGTTCTGTACAGAAATGATGTTAGTCTTAGAACAGAGTTTAGGTCTTTTGTGCAAAACTTAATCTCAGTTGTGTTCGACTTGACAACACTTAACCACTGCTAAGTGAAACTATCACTGTTATATCTGGAGGAACACTCTTCCACTTTGTACATCACTCTTTGTCAGTGTGCTATATGAAGTAACCTGGGTTACTGTGATGCTGAACCTTGTACCACTGGGGTACCAAATACCAGAATAGTTTCCCAATGTGGACAGTGTTTGGTGGAGCTTCCAGTTGTCAAACAGGTTTGGAAGCAAGAGTGGCATCCACTTCCTAAACCACAGGCCTCTATAAACTCTATGAACTTGGAGAAATGACGATAGTTATGGAAAGGCATTAGGTCTTTTGTTCATGAATCGCTATGTTGCTATGAATCGCGCTCAACTCAATGACAATCAACAACATAACAACAATCCCAGTGTATAATCTATCCCCTCCTTCCCACCGCCCCTCTCCTCTGCAGCCACCACTTAAAGGACACAGGAACTCATAGGTAATTCTAGTAATTCTAGTAATTATGAACTCATGTATTAAATTAGGGACCGGTATGACACACTCTTGTATTCTTTCAGAATCTTAAAGAGATTCACATAGAGAACAATCAGCTGGAGAACCTGCCTGAGTCCCTGGGTCTCCTGCCTAACCTGGAAATCCTTGATTGCCGCCACAATTTACTTAAGCAGCTTCCAGATGCCATCTGTAAAGCAGGAGGTGAGGAACCTTAACAAATTCACAGTCTATTAGTTTGCTACTGTGGAGAACTTGATTATAAACAGGGGATTTGGCATAATATGGTAAAAACATTGGGTTGGTTTTTTTTAAAATCCATTCCCAGGGTGGGCCAACAACTTGCTGAGTGAGTGATGAATGAACAAGTGAAGAGTGGTTTTGTTATGTCAAGTTAGAACCAACTCATTGTGGATTTTTGGAGGCTGTAAATCGCATGGGAGGAGAATTCCCATCTTTGTCCCTCAGAGCTTCCTGTTAGCTGCACGATCCCTATGGACTATGCCATCAGAGCTCTCTAAATAATGGCTAGGCTCCCTTAACAAAAGAAGGTGAAGGAATAGGAGAGTATAAACTGTCACCTACACACAGGACATTTATAAATATGGCTCATTTTGAGTAATATTTTATGAGTTCCTTGTTTTTCAGTGCAGCGTAGTATTCCATTGTGTGATATACCACAGCTTCTCTAGCCATTTGTTTGTTGATGGGCACTTAGGTTGTTTCCAATTCCTTGTTATTGTGAACAAAACCTCAATAAACAGGGTGTGCAGAATTGTTCTGTTCTTAAGGTAAATCTTCTATGACATTTCTTTTCTTTTTTTTTTAAAATTTTTATTTATTTTATTGTGTGTGTGTGTGTGTGTGTGTGTGTGTTTGTGTGTGTGTGTACCGTCAAATCAGATTTGACTGGTACAGGAGGAGATTGTTCCTCCTTCCCCAGCAGAGCATCTGGTGGATTTGAACCATGCGCCTCTGGGATTGTAGTTGCAGCATGACATTTCTTTTCAGCCTTGAATGAATTACTTCTCGAGGACAACTTACTCACCTGTCTTCCAGAGAATTTGGATACGCTAGTGAATCTAAAGATTCTAACACTGTTGGAAAATCCCATGACAGAGCCGCCCATAGAGGTGTGCACTCAAGGCATTGAGGCAATATGGTCATTCCTTAAGGAAAACCGAAAAAGGAAAATAATGGCGACAAAGGTAATATCAGCAAAATTCTTAAATGACACATTCACACTTGGTTTGGAGGGGAATGATTATTGAACATATCACAGTTTATCTTATGAAGCTCCTCTTTATACTTTTATATGTTGTTGTTGTGTACTGTAGAGTCAGAACCAACTCATAGCTGACCCTCCAGTGGGTTTTCAAAGACAGTTAATGGCAAGGGAGGAGAGTGCCTATCCTTCTCCCATGGAGCGGTTAATGGCCTCAAACTGTGTGCCTTTGGGATTGCAGCACAGCTTCTTACAAGTAGGCCATCAGAACTCCCTATACTTTTATTATTCTGAAGAAAAAATAACTCCCCAAACAAACAAACACCCCACAACAAATCAATAAACAGCAAATTTGCTGCCGTGGAATTGATGGTGAGCCCATGAATCAGAGTAGGAATGTGCATAAATATGGCTCAGGGATGAGAGTAATGTTCCTCATCAAATATCTGTATCCTGCCTTTAGTTCCCAACGGAATTCAAATTTCTCAACACTTTCCAGTGTTACTGTTTTCTATCTTTCATATGGATTACATACACTTCAACGTAAAGAAGCGAACATTCTTACAGTTGGACCAATGGGCAGTATCATGATGGATGATGAAAAGATTGAAATGATCAAGAAATAAATTGTACCGGAATCCACAGTTAACACTCATGAGGGCAGCAGTCAAGACATGAAGAGATATGTTGCATTGGGTGAATCTGCTGTCAAGGGTCTCTGTAAAGTATTAAAGAGCAAGGACGTCAGTTTAAAGGCTTAAGGGCCCTTGACCCAAGCCATGGAATTGGTATTCTCAGTTACTTTGTATGCACTGAAAGTCACACAATGAAGAAGGAAGATTGAAGAACTGATGACTTTGACTTGTCATGTTGGCAGGGTATTGAAGAGACTGTGGACTTTACAAAAGAACAAAGAAGTCTGTCTTGAAGTAAGGACAACCACAGTGCTCTTTGGAAGCAAGAATAGTGAAACTTCATTTCACATCCTCTGGCCATGTTTCCAGGATACGCCAGTCCTTGGATAATAAAGACATCGTATTGGGACAAGAGTTATTGATGACTGAGTTTTTGGAGGCACACCGCCAAGCCTTTCCCTTTGAGGCACCACTGGATGAACTTGAACCTTCAGTCTTTTAACTCTAGTATATATTAATCATTTGCACCAGCCAGGCACTCCTCTGAGAGTAAATTCTAAAACTTGCTGCCATTGAGTTGGAACTGACTCATGGGTGACTCTCTGTTGCGTTTCCGAGGCTGTCAATGCCAGAGGAGATTGCCTTTCTTTCCTCCTGGAGATGCTCATGTATTTGAACCACTGGAGGTGTGATTTTGGAGTAAGCAGTGCAACTACTGATGGAGTAGGCCACCAGAGCTCTCGTCTCTGAAGGTTATTGTTGTTGCTGCTGCTGTTACTAGGTGCTGTCAAGTACGACTATTAGTGACTCTATGAACAACAGATCTGAACCCTGTCCTATCCTATGTCATCTTCATAATCTCTGATGCACTTGACTTGAGCCCATTGCTGCAGTTACCCTGTCAATTTATCTCATTGGGAGTCTTCCTCTCTTTTGCCAACTCTCCACCTTTCCAAGCATGATATCTATCCCTTTCTAAGGAATGACTTGTCTTAACAACATGCCTAAAAAAGTGAGCCAATGCCTCACCATCCTTGTCTCCAAGGAGCACTCTGGTTGCCTTTTTCCAAGACATATCTATCTATCTATTCAGGTTTTAGCAATCCCTGCAATATTCACTGCTCTTCTCCAACCCCACAATTCAAACGAATGCATCAATTCAACCAGACAGCTATCCTCCAAACTTCCTGGCATAGACTAGTGAGCATATCCAGAATTGCATCTGTTAGCTGAAACATGTCAATTGGTATTCCATTGATTCCTGGGGCTTTTTTTTTGTCAATATCATCAATGCAGCTTGAACTTCTTCCTTCATTACCTTTGGCTCTTGTTCATATGGTACTTCCTGATATTTTTCAGTGTCAACCAACTCTTTTTGATACAGTGACTATGTATTCTTTCTGTCTTCTTCTGATGCCTCCTTGGTCTTTCAAGATTGTCCCTGTGGCATCTCGCAATGTCACAGAGACTTGAATGAATCTCTTTTTCAGTTCTTTCAACTTGAGAAATGCCAAGCGAGTTCTTCCCTTTTTATTCTCTGACTCTTGGCTCTTTGCACACTTCATTATAATACTCTGCTTTGTCTTCTTATTCAATGACTTATTCATAGCGAATACCTCTTTTTAAGAAACACAAAAGGCAACTTTACAAATAGACCTCACCTGATGGACTGCACAGGAATCATATTGACTCTCTATGGAAGGAATTGTTGGAGAAGCTTAATATAAGCAGTCAGAACCAGGCCAAGTGCTGACTGTGGGGCAGACTATCAATTGCAATTCCACTGAATTGCAATTCAATGTACAAGTTCAAATTGAGACTAAAGAAAAGGAAAACAAGAACCACAATATGACTTTAACTCTATCCCACATAAATTTAAAAACTATCTTAAGAAAAGTTTGAGATATTAATCACCATTTATCAAAGATAGAGTCACTGTGGGAAGAAATAAAGAATATCACACATGAACAAAGCAAAAAGTAAGAGAGGAAAAAGAAACATCCACAATGGATGTCAGAAAAAAATCTATGAAAATTGCATTAAAGTGTCGTGAAGCCAAGACAGAGGGAAGAGACACCTAAGTGCCTCTGAGATTATGTCAGAACCAACTCACTCCTGACCTTTTACTGGGTTTTCAGGTGGAATCAAACCACTTGCATTTGGGATTACAGCACAGCTTCTTACCACCAAAGCGCCACACTTCTGAGAGTAGAGATGTTTCTTTATCTTCATAGTCACAGAGCTTAGAGATGTGAGCTGTTTTTTGGTTTTGGTTGTTTGGCTGTTGTTTTTATTACTGTAAGTTCTAGTATTTTCCTCTTTGATGTCCCCTATCACTTTATTAGGGAACTCTGGGGGCCTAGTAGTAAGGAGTTACTCTGCTAATACAAAGGCATGCTGTTCTAATCCACCAGCTGCTCCACCGGAGAAAGATGGGCAATCTCCTCTTGATGCCAGTTGCTGCCTCTGAAAACTCAGCTACAAGAATGTTCCACCTCCACATTCTTTAACATCAACAGCATCAGAGATGGTGAAGTTGTCTCTGGATAGGCGACATTCAGAACCACTGTTCCTAGACAGGTTCACTGTGATTCCTAGGCCACTCGAGGCATCTAACAACAATATTAGATAAGAAACCAACAAACAGGCAAAACCCAAACTCCAAATCCCAAAGCCATCTATCATTATTAGACTATTTCCTAGAGTGAAAAATACAGGGACAAGCACTTACATGCATTGAGATAAGGCTGAAGAAAATCACACATGGAAGTTTAGTGTTCGGAGTTTTGCTTAGCTGCTAATTAGGATCCAAGGACCAAGATCTGTGGAAATTTCCTCAGTGAGAAGTCATCTTTTTCTCCTCATCTGTTGAACCTATGGAGAGAAAAAAGATTCTTAGGAAAGCCAGTACTATGCCCACTTCAGTCATTGTTCTGTGTTCTTTATTCAGCTGGGCCTAACCCCTATCATCTCTCCTTCAGATAATTCCACCTGTGCCCTCACAAACCAGTCTCCCTATTTCCATGCTCATTCTTCCTACAGGGCACTTCCTGCTCAGCGTTCTGACCCTTGCTCTTCCGCTGATCTGCCATTTTCCATTTCCCCTAGAACAAAAGCCAAAGTCTATGTCGTTCAAGGCCCTCTATCAAGGTCCCTAAGTGCTATCAGATCTATTGTGTGCTGTCGAGTTGACACCAACTCATAGCGGACCCTTCGGTGCATTTCCAGAGGCTGTGCATCATATGGAAGGAGTTTCCTCATCTTTCTCCTTCCAGGCATTTAAACTGCATGACTTTAGGTCACGTAGGTAACCACATCACTTTCTTTTTGTCAGAAATGACCGAACACTTCCTCTTTGGAAGAAATTCTTTGCAACAACCTCTTTAGGCTTCTAAAAATAAAGTCACACACCGTAGAACCCACTAAGGACAATACTAAAAAAGCAAAGTCATGCTTGAGCCACACATATAAAGAAAGAAGAAAAAGAAAGTAAATTACGTTAAAACCTTCCCCTAAATATGTGTAAGCTTGGTAACGACCACCCTGGAAATATGGGCACACACTTGACTAGGTTCTTCCTAAAAGAATTGTGGGGGGGGGAACCAGATAGCACCTTGAGTATTTCAGAATTGATATTTACTTTTTTTTTACATTTATGTTTAGCTCGTTAAAAAAGGATGTAATTTCCAATGGTTTAAAAATAATGATATTTTTAAAAACAGAGCTGAAACTCTAACATTTGAATGCATCCAATGGAATCTAAATACCACTATGATTTGAAAAAAATCAGTCAAGATTAATTTCCAAAATATCTAAACCTTACTGCATAGACAGACATTTTACATCATTCTTTTTTTTTTCTTCTTTAACATATATTACCATTCTACTTTTCCCTCAGCATCAATGTTCTTTCATTTTAAAGTCTCTTATAGATGATCCTTTAATGCTTCAAGACAACAAATATTTATATAGTTTTAAATTTAAAATAAAAATTTGCCATCAAGCTATTTTATGTTCCAAGCTATGCTATGTTATAAATATTATAGCGTAAAATTGATCACAAAGCAAAAACTTTATTTTGAACTTCAGTAATTAATAGACAATTAAAAATAAAATGGTATGGCTTATGTATAAATAAGTATTTAGGCGAGCTCTGGTGGCCTAGTGGCAGGAAACTGCACTGCAATCCCAGACGTGTGCGGTTCAAATCCACCAGATGCTCTGCTGAAGAAAGAGGAACAATCTCCTCCTGTACCAGTCAGATCCAATTTGATGGTACACACATAAAATAAATAAATAAATAAAAATTTTAAAAAAAGTATTTAAAAAAAAACCACATGAATACATTGCCCAAAGTCCATTGCAACCCTCCACAGGTCTCAAGGCTACATATCTTCATCTCTGGTGGTGTAGAGGCACAGACACTGCCACAGAAAGGGGGTCCCTAAGGCGGTGAGAGTAGATAGAACGTGGGGAACATGGGGTCGGGTGTTGGAAGGCGTACAGACAGCAGACAGCGCAGTTATAATAGGACAGTGAGGGCACGCTCCTTTTCCGATTCTATTACCCTGCTGTGTCGTTCTCCACAGCATTTATCATATGTACGCATTCATGTGTTCGTTGTTTACTGGCTCTCTCCTCAGTGCAATTCAAACTCTGCAAAGGCAGCACATTGGTTTCTTACTGCTGTTCCCCTAATATTTTCAATGAGTCCTGGCACACAGTTCAATCACTGTGGGCATTTAAAAAATTATGCCTGTATTGAGAAAGATAGAAAATAAGGTTTGGAGATCAGTCACACCTCATTCTCCATTTGCTCAAGACCACATACCAGATCAAAGTTGTTAGGTCACATTGAGTTGACTGTAACTCTTAGCAACCTTCTGAACAAAATACGTGATAATTGTCCTATCCGGTACCATCCTCACCACCTCTGAAATGATCGAGCTAATAATTCCAATCACTGTGCCAAGCTATCCCAGTGAGGGCCTTCGTCTCTCGCTCTGACCTTCCACCTTTCCAGCATGGTGTCTTTTTCTGAGGACTCGTCCTTCCTGACAACTTTCCTAAAGTATGAGACAAAGTTCCACCATCCTCACCTCGAAGGGTCACCCGGATTGTGTTTTCTCCAAGACTTGGTTGGTTTTTGTTGTTGTTGTTTCTGCAGTTGTCACACACCCTCAACCAGAAGAAGTGTTATCTGTGACCTGGTTCATATCTATGGGCTTCCACTTGGACACCACTCAGAAACTCTGACTGGGCCTCACAACTCCAATCTTCTCATTGGCTAGCAGATACATTTTCCAGATCAAACAAACGTAATTAAATCATCCTCAGTTCATCACAATACCAGCTAATTCTGACTTTGGGTTTATTCTTGTTTCAGATCCAGGCATGGTGGCGTGGAATTATGGTAAGAAAAGGATTAGGAAAATACGAAGAATTACTAAAAGCTCGAAAGAAAGGAAAGACCTCTCCAAAGGATAAAGGAAAGAAGAAGGATAAAAGAAAATCTCAGAAAGAAAAGAAGAAATAAACAATAAATTGCTTCATTAGGGTAATGAAGTATCCCAGATATCTCGAATTAGGTGACTACCGTTCTGAAATCATGAATTGTGGTTATTTGTAAGAGAAAATATTTTTACCTTCCATAATAGCTTGCCTCTGGAAACCCTATGAACCTGGAGAGAGGATGAGAGACACCCAAGCGTTGAGGACTCTCCTTCATAGGGTCGCTATGAGTCACCTGCGACTCGATGGCACTTAACAACAACATGATGATGGTCACCCATGGTGGACAGTGTTGGGTGGAGCTCCCCCTTAAAAACAAGCTTGGAAGCAGGAGTGGCACCCACTTCTGTAAATAGCTTGCCTTCGGAAACCCTATGAACCTGGAGGAAGAATGAAAGTCACGCAAGTGTTGAGGACTTTCTTTCATAGGGTGCCTACGACTCGATGGCACTTAACAACAACATGATATATTTATGGATAAGATGCCATGATGCCTAAGAATGATTTCAAAAATAGTATTTGTGAGGGAAGTGAGTGGAAATATAGATGAAATAAGATTGACTTTAAGCTGATAATTGTACAAGGGGCTTATAGATAACTTAGAGTGTCCTTATAATATTGTCTGGTTTTCAAAACAAGGCCATGTGCTGACTGTGGAACAGACTATCAATTACTCAAGTGCAAGTTGAAGTTGAAGCTGAAGTAAATGAAAATAAGTCCACAAGAACCAAAATATGACCTTGAGCATATCCTCTCTGAATTTAAAAATCATCCTAAGAACAGGTTTGACGCATTGAACACTAATCCTTGAAGACTAGATGAGTTATAGGATGATAACAAAGACATTATCCATGAAGAGAGAAAAATGCCATTACAAAGACTGAAGAAGAAGAAAAGACCACAGTTGCTATCCGAAAAGACTCTGAAAATAGCCTGAGAACATTGAGAAGCAAAAACAAAAAGGGGAGGGGGGAAGTGAAAGTAAAAGACGTTAACATAAGATTTCAAATGGCAGCTTGGGAAGCCAAACCAAAGTATTACAATGAAATGTGCAAAGAGCTGGAGTTGGAGAATGAAAAGGGAGGCAACTAACTTGGCACTTTTCACGTTGAAAAAACTCAGAACCAAGTTCAAGCTCAAGTCGTAATATTGAGAGATGCGAAGGACAAAAATGTAGAATGATCCAGGAAGCATCAAAAGAAGATAAAAGGAATACACAGTACCAAATACACTGTACCAAAAAGAACTGGTGGATGCTAAAAGGTTTCAGAGAGCACCGTATGAACAAGAGCCAGTGGAAGATATCCAACCTGCACTGAAGGCACTGGCAAAAATCAAGGCCCCAGGAATTGATGGGATAACATTTGACATGTTTCAACTAATAAGTGCAGCCCTGAAACGTGCTTACCAGTCTATGCCAGGAAATATGAAGGAGAGTTACTTAACTGACAGACTGGAAGAGATCCATATTTGTTCCCATTCCCGAGAAAGGTGACCCAACAGAATGTGGAAATTATCAAACAATATAATTAATCTCACATGCAAACAAAATATTGTTGAGGATGAAAAAAAACCAAACAAACCAAAAACCAACCCAAGCAAACAGCTAAAATAGTACACTGAGAGCTACTAGAAGTTTATGCTGGATTTAGACAAGGCCGTGGCACCAGGGATATCATTGCTAATGTCAGATAGATCCTGGCTGAAAGTAAAGAATACCAGAAGAATGTCTATGTACTTGGGGGGAGGGATTGTATAACAATGAAAGAATTTTTCTTTTACTTTTCAAAGAGAAGAGCGAACTTGGGGAGAGGGGTGGGCAGGGAGAAAAGTGCAACAATGAATGAATGGAAACTAAAAAATTTAGAAAATGCATTGAATACAACATTCTGGGGAGATTTTTCTTGGTGCTAAAAGTCAGTCATGTCGAATAGGGAGGAAAAAATGGAAAGTATTCTAATCTCCCACTCCAACTCATTTGAAGATGAGGAAATTTTGATTCTATTCCACTCAAATTACGTTCTGGCTGTGAGTGATATATGATATATGCTGTTTGAGAAATTGAGAGTGATGATTGCTTTTGGTTAAATGCCCATGGCAAGATGTGCAAGTGTGTCTATGTGCATGCTTTTCACAAAAGGGATGACGCATTTTTGCAAAGACATAGTTAACATTATAGTTTAGGAGATATAATAGCTTTATAGCCAAGTTTAGTAGGAGTGCCTTAAATAGTAATTGATTTGTGCTGTGATTACCATTTTGATTCATTTAGCTTTTACCTGTGCACAAGAACAGGTGGGAAGACTGTTAACAGCCGTTTGAATTGCCATTTGTGTTTTTGGTACTGGAATTGAAAAGTTCTCTTAAATCACTACAGTACATCAAAGTCAAGGATTTCATTTTGTCTGGTTTCCAATTAAAGTTAAAATAGGGTATGTCAGTCACTTTTAAAGTAATAAATACTGGGGAAAAAATGGGTGGTTTGTTGGTTTGTTTTTTCTTTTTTGGTTTGGGGTGGTCTTTTTTTTCCGTTTCAAAACTTCACACAGCTTTTTATGTTTTTTATAATTTTAGTGAACATTTACAGAGAATTTGGATTTCCATTCATTCATTGCTGCACTTCTCTACCCACGCAGCCCTCTCCCCCGCCCCCCAGTTCGCTCCTCTCTCTTTCAAAAGTAAAAGAAAGACTCCCTCCCTGGTACACAATCCCCCTGCACCCCTCCCACTGCCCCAAGTACATTCCACTATGCAACCTTAATTTTGGACTCTTGTGATAACCATAATACCCTAAAAAATAATGTCTATATGTGTTTTTCTGACCGTGTAAAGGCATTTGTTAAAGTCTTTTACTTTCACTTCTCCCCCTTTTTGTTTTGGCTTCTCAATGTTCTCGGGCTATTTTCAGAGTCTTTTCTGATAGCAACTGTGGTCTTTCCTTCTTCTTCTTCAGCCTTTGCTAAAATGAAGGGGATTTGATTTGAAGTAATTGTTGCAGATCAAAGCCTACAGCCTTCAATATGGATTGCATCTCAGCATTAAGAGGGCAATAATCCTCATAACTGGAACAATAGACAACATCATGACATGAAGAAAAGACTGAAATTGTCAACAAGGTCATCTTACTAGGCTTCACAGTCAACATCCTTGGTGCCAGCAGTCAGGAGAACAGGAGACACATTGCATTGAGTGAGTCTGCTGTCAGGGACCTCTCCAAATTACTGAGAAACTATAGTGGGGGTCAGTTTGAGGACTAAGGTGCACCTGATTCAAGCCATGGTGTTTTAATCACTTGCCATGCATTTGAGAGCTGGACAGTGAATAAGAATGACAGAGGATGTTCTCTTTGGATTGTGGTGTTGGAAAGGAGCATTGACTACCCCATAGATTGCCAAAAGAACAGAAATGTCTGTGGGAAAGGTGCAGCCAGTGTGCTCCTTGGATGCAAAGACGGTGATGCTTCATCTCACATAATTCAGGCATGTTGCTAGGAGAGGCTATTCCTTGGAAGGTCACATCACACTTGCAAAGGTGGAGGGTTCGTGAGAGGAAGACCCTCAACAAGTCTGGCACAGTGACTACAGAAATGGGCTTAAGTATGTCAGAGATGATGAGGCTGGCACAAGATAGAACAGGGCTCAGCTCTGGTGCTCACAGGGTTGCTAGGATTCACACTCTATACCTAAAAACAAAAGCAACTTTTAAAAAAATTATTTCTTTT